TAATTACATACTTTAGTATTAATTCTTCTTCTTCTTTAATTTTAATTTCCATTTCTTCTTCAGTAACATCTTTCCAAATATTAATTAAACTATCAGCACCACCTGAAATTATCAAATTTTCATTTTTATTAACAGTCAACGCCCAAATTTTTTCAGTGTGATTATCAAGTGTATTAATACACTCGGTTGTCTTATTCAACCAAATTTTTATCAATCCATCTGATCCACATGAAACAACTTGTGAACCTGATGTGATGAACACGGATCTCAATACTGTGTTCTGATGGCCTTCAAAAGTTTTCAAACAAGTGAAATCATTCAAATTCCAAATTTTTATGGTTTTGTCACCAGAGCTTGATAATAAGGTCTGATCCATCCTGGAGAAATCAATAGACCAGACACCACGTTTATGTCCTAAACATTTACCAACCAAATTACCATCTTTTGTTGACCATATCTTTATGGTTTTATCTTGTGACCCTGTTGCAAATATTTTCTCATTTGGTGAAATGGCTATTGTGTTGATGTCTTTATCGTGTGCATGATGAGTATAAAGAGACTTGGGTTTATGGTTTTCATCTGGATCTGATTTATCTGTTTCATTGACATTATATATATATATATATATATGTATTAGAGAGATTCATTTAAATAGAATAATAAGAAAAAATTTACTTATTAAAGAAACTTTTACTGACCAATTGATGATAGATCCCAATATTTTATAGTTCGATCAGCACTGCCACTAATACAAAAATTTTCAGTTTTTTTGGACATAACAACAGAACCGACAGCCTCAGTATGACCAACACAAACGCCCAAACATTTAACCCGATCAGATGCATCTTGACTGTTCAGATCAAACTTCCAAATTCTAATAGTATGATCCTTTGAACCAGAAATGAGAATATCACCTGTATTATTTTTATCCAGACAAATAACTATATCATTATGACCATAAACAATATTAAAGTCAAACGCTGTCATGTTAAACAATCCAATTTGTTCTGTGTTTGTAGCTATGGCCAGATGAGTTTCGTCTGGACCAATAAAAGAAAGATCTAGTATTTCATCGTTGTTACCAATGATTTGTCTATATCTTTTTAAATTTTTGGATAAATTGTAAAATAAAAAGTTTTGATCATCTGTTACTGCTATTAGACTTTTACTTTTCCTTAAATATCTGTTAATTGATGGAATTATTGTTAATGGTATTAACAATGATCATGATAAATATCATTGTTCATTGATTGATTGATTTATAATTATATAGCATACATTATATCTTTTATTGTGTATTTTGTATTTTTTTCAGGTTCTTGTGACATAAATAGTTTACCGGTATGAAGTTCCCATACCCTAATTATACCTATTCAATATTTATACAATAATTCGCTATTATTATCATTTTAATAATATAATAGATATTTTTCCGTAAAAATAAATAGGTAATATACCTTTATCACCACCAGTATAAATCAATTCTTTGGATGAACTGCCTGAATCATCAGTAGAATTCTCTTCTAATACACCTATCACTTCGATTGTCTAACATAAATGCATACACACATACACATATTGTTTTAATATTCTCTTTAAAAATATTTTTTATTGAATCAAATAGTCATCATTTACCTCATAAATTGGAAATGTGTTAATTAATATTTTTTTATTATTGTCGATATTATGAAGATCCCATGTACATATTACTTTATCACGAGAGCTGCTTATTAAATATCTTCCATCATTAGATACATCTAGGCCACTAATTAGACTAACATGGTTTTTTAATATAGCAACACAGCTAAAATAAAATAATTAATTAGTAATTAATTAATTAAAACATTATCTTAATTGTTTCATCATCAACATCATCTTGTTATTTTTTACCTACCTTCTTTTATGTAAATCCCATATACGAATATTACAATCATCTGACCCAGAAGCCAATTTCCAATTATTTTGACCTTGTTTATAGAATTTTAATGAACTGATTACACCTCCATGACCGTGAAAATTATGCGTACAAAATCCACCTTCTATATCCCATATTTTAACAACACCATCAGCAGATCCTGTTGCTACTAATGAAGAAGTTGGATCGATTGCCATTACAATTATTGGCGAATCATGTGCCTTTAAAGAAGACATTATTATTATTATTAAGATCATTAAACAAGATGAAATCGAACGATAATAAAAAATACATTTGAACTATTTTTTAATTTAATATTTACTCTAAAAGTTCTTAAAAGTTTTCCAGTTTTTAAATCCCAAATTTTCACTAATAAACTTCTACTAGCACTAACTAATAATTTGTCATCAGGCGTTATGCCAAAGGTAGTGATAAGATCACTATCCTATATTCCAACAAATTAAAGAATCATTATCATCGTTGTATTTTGAAAGTGATGAAATTATTGTAATTATCATCATTATTAACCTACATACACCACTTAGTCTAAACAATTTTTGTCCGTCATAAATATTAATAACATCAATATCTTCTCCAACAGTTGTTATTAAAGCATTCTCGTCAGATGTTATACATGCTTTCCCGCCAGTGTAAAGTTGACCAATTGACTGGATAACTTTGAAACTTTGATTATTATAAGATTAATATCATTTCTGTTAATATGTACTCGTATAATAATATTATTAACTAGGATACACACCTGGTTTTGATTTGTTTTTTTCCATTTGATTCAAGCATTTTATAATAAATTTCGTTGATTGATTATCAAGAAAAAATTTAATGACGATCATAATTAAATGAATTGATTTTAAATTAAAGAAAAAAAAATGATAAAACAGCCAAACATATCAATATAACTCATCAATACCCATTTGTCTCAGTCTTTTAAAATTGCGTGGTGCTCGTAAAGACAAATTATTTACCTTGAAAACAAACGGTTTAGAGGAATATATTCGTAAAATTGCATCCAAAATTTGATTCACGAGCTTTAGTTGATGTTAATTTAGCAAATATATTTAAAAAATTGTTTTTAGAATATTCAAATATACATCAGTCGCCTTCTCTGATGAAACTCTGGGATGGCTCAGGCCATGTTTATTTGTCGACTAATCAAAAATATACATTATACTATAAAGAATTTCGTCAACATTTTTATTTAGAATATAATTAATAATAAATAGTATTATATTTTATAAGAACCCAATTTGAATTTATTTTATCCGGGTGATTTTTCTATTAATTGTTTTAACTGCATCTTTTGATTTGATCCTCGTTCCTTTAAATTTTCTAGTACTGGTAGTTTATTATATAATAGCTTGATTTTGAAGGCTTTCCATCTACTGTCTTTGAAAGATGTAGGAGAAGAAAAACCAGTTCTCAAGATAACTCTACTCTATTTTATGTATTTCTTCCTCAGTGAAAAATGGTTGAAACCGATTTAAAGAGATCCAAGAATTTAATCGTTTTGCTTTGCATATTTGTTTGATAAAATTTCTACAGGTTGGAAACTCTTTCCAATATAATGTAACATATTTTTATATTTTTATTTATGTTTATTTTTGTGATTTGATTATTAATACTTCCTGGTTTGGCTGATGAGTCAGCTATATTAATTATTGGAGTGAGGTTTAACTTTGTTGATTTTACCATTAAATTTTGAATAAATGCTTTCCCATAAATAAAATTGTTAAATTTAAGGTAAGATCTAATTGTTTTTGATTGTTGTTTCCAATTGTTAAAACCATCAATAGTAGCTTGCGAATCCAAGTATAACTACATTATGAGTTTTTGAATTAATTCCATATATATATTATAATGACAAACAACAATGTATCAATTATGAATACTTATTTTAAAAGAAAAAAAATATATATAACACACTCACTACATGGACAAAAGTCAGGTGCATTTTTAAACAAAAATTTCATAAAAAATACCATTTTGCAACTTGGATTCACCAAACTATATATGCAAAATTTGAGAACCCAATGATGCCAGATCTTTAATAATAATATGTATGATCTGATTGGAGTCTTTGGCTCAGAATGATTTTATTTCCTATTTTTTTACAAACTCAACTGTCATACCCACCACAGCTGCTGTCACTACACACAATCTACCACCATTAATACATCCATCTTCCACTCCTTTAACTATTGCTGCTGCTAACAATAATATAAAATCAACTGATCAATCAAGTAATAATGATTTAGAATTAATATCAATCCTGATAATTAGCAGCTGAAGAAGAAATACAGCTGTATCTGCCAGATTTCGTGTTAAAAAGAAATTACGTGAACAGGTACTTGAGAGAGCTGCAAGATAAATGGCTTCAAAAACAGAGCTGTTTGAAGGAAGAATCAAGAAAAAACTTGCATTTGAAAATAAATGATTAAAGATTGAAAAAGATGCTAGGTTGTTGGATGTTAAACCTGCTGATAAAAAAACAAAATTAGATCAAAATCATGATAAAGATTATAAAAATTTAAAAGTACTAAATGATCAAAAATAAAAAAACAAATTGAAGAAAAATTTTTCTTTATATATCTACTTGCAGCCAAAAATATCACTGAATTCATGCATGATAAGGAGATTGATAAAATCAACATCCCTCCCTCCATAACTCGGTGTCAAATAAGCATATGTGTTACCAATTGCAGCATATTATAATCAATAAGAAATTGGTTGAAGCCCTGGCTGGTTATAGAAATGAACTGGCGCCACACAACCAGGAGAACAATTTTTATTACTATTACTATATTTTTTCATTGATTCGGTCATTCTATTGTGACGAGCAAGTCTTGATGGAGGGAGCAATTTTTAATCCTCTTAACTGTCTCATCTTGAGCATCTACAGTCATTATTATGAATGTTTGCATGATTTCATGTGACTTTGTACAACAAAATTTGAATAAAGAAGATCAGCAGCAGTACATTAAATGGGAGTTGATAAAAGGTTTCAAATTTTTTAGCGCCATTTTTTATGTCGCTTCCTTTTTTCAATAATTTTTTATAAAAACTAGCCATGTTATCAGATAATACAAACTCAAACTCAAATTTAGACACTGTTTCACATTTACATACAAGCGATAATGATAGCGATACTACCGAGATTCAACCAGTCTTGGATAAAATTACATTAAATGTCGGTGGCATAAAGGTAACTTTATATGTTTATAATGACAATATTATAAAGTAATAATAATTGATTGTTTTTTAGTATGAAACATTCAGGTCAACTTTGACAGCTTATCCGACAACTTTACTTGGCTCATTGTTTCTCTATGACGACGATGAAAATCCTTTGTATGATGCTCCTAATGAATTTTTTATCGACAGAGATGGACATTTATTTCATTATATTATGCAATTCTATAGAACTGGTAAAGTTCCAACTATTGATCAAGGTAATAATTAAAATGTTTGCCAATGGACGACATGGAAGATTTATTATAAATAATCAATCTCACCTTTTATTTCTATTTCTATTTCTATTTCTATTTCTTTTTACTCATTTAAAGCAATTGGTTTGATCCCAATAACATCACAAGAATTAGAAGAAGAATTGGAATATTTCAAAATTCCAATATATCCGCAATCTTCCTACTCATCAACCACCCTATCACAGTCGCAATTATCACTACGAGATAAAATTATAACTAATGAAATCGACTCTTTTACCACAACTCTAACCAACACTTTATTAACTATTTCACAACAATTCAAAAAAGAATTTTTCTTTAAAAAACAATTCCGAATAAAATTCGAAATAACATTTTATCACAACGATCGCATCTCAGATTTCAATATACAACCCTCGATCAATTCAAGCTTGAAACAACAACTCTACAAAAATCTGGAGAACTTTCAATTGTTAGGTTATGCTATACTGGATAGATTTGGTGATGACATTGGTAGATATATGACAACGAATGTACAGGGTTGTAATTGGGAATGTAAAAGGGTGGAGGAATTTTCTTGGGGTGGTGTTAATAGAATGTATAAAGTTTTGGTCGGCGTAGAAAATAGTTTTGAACATGAAGATATCATCGGCAGCTGTTGTTTATCGTCAGTTGGACCAGATGCTAGTAATAATGCATAACAATAATAATAATAACAGTAGTCATCTATATTATATATTACTATTATTACTATTTATTATTTATCAAGTTTTTTTTTAATTGTGCATTTTTCTATGGCTTTTGTAATATTGGCTAGGAAAATGATTATTTATAAAGATGGAAATCCAAAAATAGTTAATTAAATATGTATAGAGTATATCAATGTATTTATAACAATCAATATTATATAATAATCAAATTGATCAATTCAATTGGCAGCATTTCACTACTTGCATTAATCTAAGATTATTCTTGGTCAACTTTTATTCCTCATTCTCCTCGAAAAATATAACATACTGGATGAAATGAATGATTTTGATAATCATGGTTACACATCATATGTCATAAAATCAGTTTAGTTTCGAAAACAGTTTAGGAGTTTCGGGTTAGTTTCGAAAATAGTTTAGGGTTAGAGTTTAGAAAGGCAACTCTACTATTTATGTCTTGAAAGCAATATTAAAAAGTTTTAATAATGATCGGCATATTATAAAATTATCCAATCAATTTCTTTATGAATCAACCAATCACATATAAAGCCCGCTATGTTTAATAAAACACTAATGAAGAAAGATTTTGTTACACCGACCGTTTCCTTTTTTAGAGAAAAAAGGGGGCACCATAAAAAAAATCCGCATACAGTTCACTCTCTCTCTATAACGGCCCCCTCTATAACGGCCCCCTCTATAACGGCCTCCATTCTATAACGCACTGTAAATCAGAAACCAAATTTTTACTATATAAAAACCTTACTCTATAACGGCTTTCTTAATTAAATTTCCTATAGTGTATAACGGCCAGCCACTGGAAATTCTCTCGTATGTTTTATATGTTGTCTATAACGGCTGACGATCATGATCTGAGGTAATCATTACCAAATTAAGAAATTGAGTGTGTCACACTCAATTATTAATATTAATAATTTGAACGCGCTTATTGTCATTCTATTTCTGAATTCAACAAATTTAACTAATGTAAGAGTTTACTTCTTACCACCAAACACAACAAAATTTTTACAACAATGTGATGCTGGGATAATCAACAGCTTCAAGGTGAACTACAAAAAACTTTTCTTGCAAAAAAAAATTAGTGATTATGAAGAAGAGAGAAATGGTTAAGAATATGAAAAAATTCAATTAAAACATGCAATTAAATTTACAGCAAAAGCTTGGAAAAAAGTTACCAGTCAAACTATAGTTAACTGCTGGAAAAAAACTGGTATCTTACCTGATTATGATATTAATTCCAACGAAATTGAAAATATGTCATCAATTTTAAATTTATTGAATGTAAGAGAGCTCAATGATTTGCAAAATTTGATTGATGAACTTGCACTTCCTAATCCTATATCTGCGTCTGAATACATTGAAATTGATGACTCATATGTAAGTGATGGAATAATCTAAATGACATAGTTACCAATAATTAATCTACCAGAGAAAAATGAAAGCCAGGAAGAAATAATCGAAGAACTTCCACCTGTTACAAATAAAGAGGCCTTGTCAGCAATAAAAACATTAGAAATTTACATTGACCAACAAACAATCAGAATTAAATGAGGATAATTTTAAATTATTGAAAAGAAAAATTAAAAAAATTGATTTTAACTCACAACAACAATCCACACTAGATGGCTTTTTTAATATTGAATAAGTATGCAAATTATAAATAGTTTACTTTCATTTATTTCATTTATTTTTTAAATATATTTTATCATACAAAATAAAAATCTTTATATTGTATCACATTATGACCATGATCTGCAAACTCTCTATAACGGTCTCTCTCTATAACGGCCTTTTTTTGCCAAATCAGGCGGGCCGTTATAGAGAGAGTGAACTGTATATGAATTTACATTATGACATTACTTAGATTTGTTAATCAACTTATATCGAATACCCCAAGAAACTATCTATTTATTCCTTACATAAATATTATATAAATAACTAAATAAATCAATACTTTTGCAAAATCACAAACAAATCCACTTAGAAAAAATTTTCATTTGTCATTAATATTAATTGCACACTTCAAATTTTCAACAATGAAACTAACTCTTTTAATTGTGCTCTTTGCAACAATCTTCTCCAGCGTCTTTGTTGGTGCAATAAGCATCAACGGTGGAAATGGACTCTTCAAAAGAAGACCGAGTATGTGTCTTAATCTATTCTAAAAACATGCACAAATGATTTTCTTGCAAAACCCTCTTTTAAATTTTTATGTAAATTCATATCTTGATATTTATTAACTATGTGTACACATTTATCAGATGATGCTTGTAATGATGATGCTGATTGTTCTGATGGAGAAGTATGTGGCGATAATAAATTGTGCCTTATTAACCAAGGAGAGCCTTGCGTAGGCGCCAATTTTGACCCTGATTGTATAACTTTAATTTGTCGTATTACTGGTTCTGATACGTTCAAATGCCAACTCACTGATGATCGTCCTGCTGGAGGCTCTTGTTTTGTAGATAAAGCAAAATTGATTGGATAATTTTATAATATGCCGATCATTATTAAAACTTTTTAATATTGCTTTCAAGACATAAATAGTAGAGTTGCCTTTCTAAACTCTAACCCTAAACTATTTTCGAAACTAACCCGAAACTCCTAAACTGTTTTCGAAACTAAACTGATTTTATGACATATGATGTGTAACCATGATTATCAAAATCATTCATTTTCTCTTATTTTCTCTTCGCGACTAAAGTTTTTATCAAAGTTCATTTTATTTTGATATTATTGTCCTGACAATTAATTAATTATTAAATCATTGGTTTAGTTTAAAAATATGTTATAATTTTCTTATTTGTTCTAATATAATTTTTCTTAAAAATATATAAATTTTTTTAATCACAATAATGTCAAACAATACTGATGTAGATATAAATAGTTTATCAAATTCAAAAAAACTTGGTGGGTGACCAAAAAATGCAGTTTGGCAACATTTCGAATGTTATCCCTCAAAACATCCAGGACATTTTGGAGCCAAATGCAAAGCATGTAATTGTAAATGGAGTAATAGAGCTGTTAATAAACTGCAAGTCCATTTGGCACATGAATGTGAATACATTGAAGAAGAGATCAAAAAAAGATATATGTATATTGTTGCAGAAATTTTAAGAGATGAAATTGAATGTGTTTTATCCAGAATTGGGCCAAACAAATTTGCAGCTGTAGTGAGTGACAATGCTTCAGCAATTCTTAGTGCAAGAAAACAAATTTCAGAAAAATATCCTTTCATTTTGAATACCAATTGTATAGCACACTGTGTGAATTTGATAACAAAAGATATTATGAGTATGTTTTTTTAAAATTTAGGCTTTTTTAATATTATTTATGGTTTAATAATCTATATTTTAAAAAACATTACAATTAGAGCACTCCTTTCCATATAAAGTTGTTAAACAATGAAACTAGTTATCTCAAAGAGCAGGGATTTCTCATCCCTAATGCCGAAATTTATCAGGGGTTAGCTAGTACTTGGGATTTAGGACCCCACGGAGCCGAATTAAAAAGAAATTTAAAAAATCTCTGATGAAAGTATTTTATTACTTCTTCTCCTTATAATGTTGGTTGAGTAACAAAATTAGCCATTTTTTTAAAACTTCCCACAGAGTTGGAGCATTATTAAGAAAATATATTGATGAATATGGTATTAAAGGTGGTGGACTTTGTTCGTACACACCAACTAGATGGACTTCAATGTTTGAGACCACTAACTCTGTCCTCCAACTCAAACAACCATTGGAAAAGGTTTAAATATTAATTACTTTCTTATTTATTTTTTATTTTGTCATTTGTAAGATTATAATATATGATAACAAAATTTTCAATTTAAATAAAGATTTATGAAAGACATAAAGATTTACTTACAAATGATAAGGTGAAACATATTCTTGGTCTAAGAGGTTTTTTTCATGATGTTGGGCTGGTAACTTCTGTATTGTTGCCATTACAAAAAGCAATTCTCAATTTGGAAGGAACAAATGTTAACCTTGCAGATTGTTTCATCCAACTTGTAAAACTTGCAGTAAATATCAACAAAATTTCACATGAAGATGGATTAATGAATTTAGGAACCATTGTATTAAAGTCATCAATAATAGATGGGAATCTTTTGAAATACATCCATATTGGCTTGCATATTTTCTTCACCCATTATACCATGGTAAACATTTAACATTTTTTTTTATTATAAAAGAATTTTATATATAAATTATTGACATCTTATTTTTGTTTAGGAGTTGGTTTAAAATCAACTATTTGGCCAAATTTAACTAAATATGCAGGAGAAATCATTTGGAATATGAATAAAAAAAATCACTCTAATAATAAAGTAGCAGAATTAATAGGTCAAATGGCAAACTTTAAAGGTTCAGAAGGTGTTTTTTCTATCCAATATTCTTCTTCTTACACAAGACCAAGAACTTGGTGGCAAGTTATTGATGATTCAAATGAATATGTAAAGAGTTTAACAATTAAAATTTTCTCAATCACTCCTCATCATGCTGCTTGTGAGAGAGCATTTTCTGCACTAGGATTCTTGTATGGAAAAAGACAGCAATGTCTTAGTTTGTCTACAATTGAAGATATGGCAAAAATTAGATATTATTTATATTCAAATATTAAAAATGAGTTGAATTATGAATCTAAAGAAAGATATGAAGAAGAACTAAGATCTCTAGTCCAAGGAAGTGGATTTTTTGATGATAATGATGAAGACTATGATGAAGGTGATAGTGAAGATGATAGTGAAGGTGAAGAAGGATTAGAAATACCAAATGAAGATGTTTATGTTTAATTATTAATGAGATGGTTGATTTAAATAATCCAATATTTAATGAGGATTATGATGATTTAAATGATAATATTGAGGTAGAAGATGAGAATATGGAAGAAAGTTCTGAAGAAGTATTTGATTTTGATGCAATTCCTGAAATTTCACCTCCATCAAATATGTAAAAATTATTATTTTTTAAAAAAATTTTATTAATAATGATAATAGTAATATTTTGGTTGTTTTTTTTTATTAAGAAAAAATAAAGATTTATTTGTTTGGTTTGGAATTTTTAGGAGTTTCGAAAATAGTTTAGGAGTTTCGAAAACAGTTTAGGAGTTTCGAAACAGTTTAGGAGTTTTGAAAACAGTTTAGGAGTTTCGAACAGTTTAGGAATTCAGGCCCATTTTCTAAACCAATTTAGAAGGGTTTAGATTTCGAATAGTTCTAAACTCATGAGTTTCGGAAGGCAACTCTACTTTACAGTAGAAATAATGTCCACCTGGTAAGGTACTAAATGCACAAGCTGTCAACATATATTTCAAAGTTTCTTCACTTGATTTGCAATAAAGATGCAATGGAAAGTCTAATTGATTTGATGGATGATATGAATTATCATCTCTCTGAGTCAATTCAAATATTAAAATTGGTGGATAAAAAATTATATATTCTTCATAATTAATTTTCCAATTAAATTTACAGCAAAAGCTTGGAAAAAAGTTACCAGTCAAACTATAGTTAACTGCTGGAAAAAAACTGGTATCTTACCTGATTATGATATTAATTCCAACGAAATTGAAAATATGTCATCAATTTTAAATTTATTGAATGTAAGAGAGCTCAATGATTTGCAAAATTTGATTGATGAACTTGCACTTCCTAATCCTATATCTGCGTCTGAATACATTGAAATTGATGACTCATATGTAAGTGATGGAATAATCTAAATGACATAGTTACCAATAATTAATCTACCAGAGAAAAATGAAAGCCAGGAAGAAATAATCGAAGAACTTCCACCTGTTACAAATAAAGAGGCCTTGTCAGCAATAAAAACATTAGAAATTTACATTGACCAACAAACAATCAGAATTAAATGAGGATAATTTTAAATTATTGAAAAGAAAAATTAAAAAAATTGATTTTAACTCACAACAACAATCCACACTAGATGGCTTTTTTAATATTGAATAAGTATGCAAATTATAAATAGTTTACTTTCATTTATTTCATTTATTTTTTAAATATATTTTATCATACAAAATAAAAATCTTTATATTGTATCACATTATGACCATGATCTGCAAACTCTCTATAACGGTCTCTCTCTATAACGGCCTTTTTTTGCCAAATCAGGCGGGCCGTTATAGAGAGAGTGAACTGTATATGAATTTACATTATGACATTACTTAGATTTGTTAATCAACTTATATCGAATACCCCAAGAAACTATCTATTTATTCCTTACATAAATATTATATAAATAACTAAATAAATCAATACTTTTGCAAAATCACAAACAAATCCACTTAGAAAAAATTTTCATTTGTCATTAATATTAATTGCACACTTCAAATTTTCAACAATGAAACTAACTCTTTTAATTGTGCTCTTTGCAACAATCTTCTCCAGCGTCTTTGTTGGTGCAATAAGCATCAACGGTGGAAATGGACTCTTCAAAAGAAGACCGAGTATGTGTCTTAATCTATTCTAAAAACATGCACAAATGATTTTCTTGCAAAACCCTCTTTTAAATTTTTATGTAAATTCATATCTTGATATTTATTAACTATGTGTACACATTTATCAGATGATGCTTGTAATGATGATGCTGATTGTTCTGATGGAGAAGTATGTGGCGATAATAAATTGTGCCTTATTAACCAAGGAGAGCCTTGCGTAGGCGCCAATTTTGACCCTGATTGTATAACTTTAATTTGTCGTATTACTGGTTCTGATACGTTCAAATGCCAACTCACTGATGATCGTCCTGCTGGAGGCTCTTGTTTTGTAGATAAAGCATGCAAAAGTGGGAAATGCATTAATAACTTCTGCGACTAAGCTTGGAAAAAAGTTACCAGTCAAACTATAGTTAACTGCTGGAAAAAAACTGGTATCTTACCTGATTATGATATTAATTCCAACGAAATTGAAAATATGTCATCAATTTTAAATTTATTGAATGTAAGAGAGCTCAATGATTTGCAAAATTTGATTGATGAACTTGCACTTCCTAATCCTATATCTGCGTCTGAATACATTGAAATTGATGACTCATATGTAAGTGATGGAATAATCTAAATGACATAGTTACCAATAATTAATCTACCAGAGAAAAATGAAAGCCAGGAAGAAATAATCGAAGAACTTCCACCTGTTACAAATAAAGAGGCCTTGTCAGCAATAAAAACATTAGAAATTTACATTGACCAACAAACAATCAGAATTAAATGAGGATAATTTTAAATTATTGAAAAGAAAAATTAAAAAAATTGATTTTAACTCACAACAACAATCCACACTAGATGGCTTTTTTAATATTGAATAAGTATGCAAATTATAAATAGTTTACTTTCATTTATTTCATTTATTTTTTAAATATATTTTATCATACAAAATAAAAATCTTTATATTGTATCACATTATGACCATGATCTGCAAACTCTCTATAACGGTCTCTCTCTATAACGGCCTTTTTTTGCCAAATCAGGCGGGCCGTTATAGAGAGAGTGAACTGTATATGAATTTACATTATGACATTACTTAGATTTGTTAATCAACTTATATCGAATACCCCAAGAAACTATCTATTTATTCCTTACATAAATATTATATAAATAACTAAATAAATCAATACTTTTGCAAAATCACAAACAAATCCACTTAGAAAAAATTTTCATTTGTCATTAATATTAATTGCACACTTCAAATTTTCAACAATGAAACTAACTCTTTTAATTGTGCTCTTTGCAACAATCTTCTCCAGCGTCTTTGTTGGTGCAATAAGCATCAACGGTGGAAATGGACTCTTCAAAAGAAGACCGAGTATGTGTCTTAATCTATTCTAAAAACATGCACAAATGATTTTCTTGCAAAACCCTCTTTTAAATTTTTATGTAAATTCATATCTTGATATTTATTAACTATGTGTACACATTTATCAGATGATGCTTGTAATGATGATGCTGATTGTTCTGATGGAGAAGTATGTGGCGATAATAAATTGTGCCTTATTAACCAAGGAGAGCCTTGCGTAGGCGCCAATTTTGACCCTGATTGTATAACTTTAATTTGTCGTATTACTGGTTCTGATACGTTCAAATGCCAACTCACTGATGATCGTCCTGCTGGAGGCTCTTGTTTTGTAGATAAAGCATGCAAAAGTGGGAAATGCATTAATAACTTCTGCGACTAGATACATTATTAATTTTATGATTATGCATCTTAGATATAAGCTATTGATTAGTATTTAGATTTATTCCATTATTAAAATTATTTCATTTTGCATTTTTGATTATTATTAGTTAAACTAGAGTGACGACAATTTGTAATGCATTACAACCACCGCCACCATTCTTTTTAAATAAATAACACTTGTTTCTTTTTAAGAACATAATTTTTTTAAAAAAATCTGGTTTCATCCTTGTTCTTTTTTTCTCTGTATTGTTTAAAATTTTCCTTTTCATTGAAAAATAATTTCATGTTTTTCCTTAAAAGGGATTGAAAGATTGTGATATTGATTTTATTTTAATAATAATGTATTAGATAAATAAAAATGGTCAAAAAATCCTCACTTCAGCATAAAAAAAGAATCAATATTGTTGTTGTTGTTGTTGTTGTTAATATTAACGGATTAATGTATTCTTAATTGTAATATTAATATATATTGATATTATCGTTAACGGGTTAACACCTAAGTCCTATAAGCTAACCGTTAATCTGTTAACAACCCGTTATTAACGTTAACTCGATAATCCGCTAGTTATACGTTAGAACATCAAGCAACGAGTGATTGCAAGACATCCGGATCAAATTATTGTAAAAGATCGGTAAAAAAAAAGGGGTTTGATTTATTAAAATATTCTTGTTGGTTTTAAATAATCTTAATTAGAATTAGAAATACATCTATAAAAAAGCATATAATCTTTCATTATTCATCATCATCTGATATATTCATTTTGCTAATAGGATCCAATAAATCCATAGAATATAAACTATAATCAATGATGTAAGAATCTATCAATAATTTTTCAATTCTTTGAAAATGTCTTTCAGAATATGGCAATAATCCATCTATCAACTATATAAAATAAAAAAAATTATATATTTATATATATATAAAATAAAAAAATTATATACGTTTATATATATAATATCTGTTATAAAAATTAGTACCTCTTTGATTCCATCGATTTCTAATAATTGGTTGGAATTGAAATTCCTTAATAGAACATTTAAAATTGTTTGAGAAACCTGAAAATTTTTTGAATTGGTATTCCAATCTCTTATATAAGTCAAGATTTTTTCTAAATTTTCTTTTTCTAGATTAATTAATATACCATCTATTGTTTTTAATCCTGTTATACTGCTATCACCTGAAAAAAAAAAGACGAGGCAGTGGTGTTAGATAAAGAATAAATTATATGGCTTAATTCATTGCAAAAATATGTGCACACGTGTAATGGTGGGATTGATTGATCGATTAGCTAGTTAGTTAGTTACCTTCAGGTCGATTATTCATAATTTGCTTGAATAAATTTAATAATCTATGAGGTTGATCCAAACTAATCGCAAGCAATATGGCATTTTTGTAATCTTTTTTTTGTAAATAGTTTGCTAAATCTTGCTCTCTATAAGATGAATAAAAAATTTTTATACACACATTTCAAAATAAAAAAGCAAACACAAAGAGACAATTAATTACATACTTTAGTATTAATTCTTCTTCTTCTTTAATTTTAATTTCCATTTCTTCTTCAGTAACATCTTTCCAAATATTAATTAAACTATCAGCACCACCTGAAATTATCAAATTTTCATTTTTATTAACAGTCAACGCCCAAATTTTTTCAGTGTGATTATCAAGTGTATTAATACACTCGGTTGTCTTATTCAACCAAATTTTTATCAATCCATCTGATCCACATGAAACAACTTGTGAACCTGATGTGATGAACACGGATCTCAATACTGTGTTCTGATGGCCTTCAAAAGTTTTCAAACAAGTGAAATCATTCAAATTCCAAATTTTTATGGTTTTGTCACCAGAGCTTGATAATAAGGTCTGATCCATCCTGGAGAAATCAATAGACCAGACACCACGTTTATGTCCTAAACATTTACCAACCAAATTACCATCTTTTGTTGACCATATCTTTATGGTTTTATCTTGTGACCCTGTTGCAAATATTTTCTCATTTGGTGAAATGGCTATTGTGTTGATGTCTTTATCGTGTGCATGATGAGTATAAAGAGACTTGGGTTTATGGTTTTCATCTGGATCTGATTTATCTGTTTCATTGACATTATATATATATATATATATATGTATTAGAGAGATTCATTTAAATAGAATAATAAGAAAAAATTTACTTATTAAAGAAACTTTTACTGACCAATTGATGATAGATCCCAATATTTTATAGTTCGATCAGCACTGCCACTAATACAAAAATTTTCAGTTTTTTTGGACATAACAACAGAACCGACAGCCTCAGTATGACCAACACAAACGCCCAAACATTTAACCCGATCAGATGCATCTTGACTGTTCAGATCAAACTTCCAAATTCTAATAGTATGATCCTTTGAACCAGAAATGAGAATATCACCTGTATTATTTTTATCCAGACAAATAACTATATCATTATGACCATAAACAATATTAAAGTCAAACGCTGTCATGTTAAACAATCCAATTTGTTCTGTGTTTGTAGCTATGGCCAGATGAGTTTCGTCTGGACCAATAAAAGAAAGATCTAGTATTTCATCGTTGTTACCAATGATTTGTCTATATCTTTTTAAATTTTTGGATAAATTGTAAAATAAAAAGTTTTGATCATCTGTTACTGCTATTAGACTTTTACTTTTCCTTAAATATCTGTTAATTGATGGAATTATTGTTAATGGTATTAACAATGATCATGATAAATATCATTGTTCATTGATTGATTGATTTATAATTATATAGCATACATTATATCTTTTATTGTGTATTTTGTATTTTTTTCAGGTTCTTGTGACATAAATAGTTTACCGGTATGAAGTTCCCATACCCTAATTATACCTATTCAATATTTATACAATAATTCGCTATTATTATCATTTTAATAATATAATAGATATTTTTCCGTAAAAATAAATAGGTAATATACCTTTATCACCACCAGTATAAATCAATTCTTTGGATGAACTGCCTGAATCATCAGTAGAATTCTCTTCTAATACACCTATCACTTCGATTGTCTAACATAAATGCATACACACATACACATATTGTTTTAATATTCTCTTTAAAAATATTTTTTATTGAATCAAATAGTCATCATTTACCTCATAAATTGGAAATGTGTTAATTAATATTTTTTTATTATTGTCGATATTATGAAGATCCCATGTACATATTACTTTATCACGAGAGCTGCTTATTAAATATCTTCCATCATTAGATACATCTAGGCCACTAATTAGACTAACATGGTTTTTTAATATAGCAACACAGCTAAAATAAAATAATTAATTAGTAATTAATTAATTAAAACATTATCTTAATTGTTTCATCATCAACATCATCTTGTTATTTTTTACCTACCTTCTTTTATGTAAATCCCATATACGAATATTACAATCATCTGACCCAGAAGCCAATTTCCAATTATTTTGACCTTGTTTATAGAATTTTAATGAACTGATTACACCTCCATGACCGTGAAAATTATGCGTACAAAATCCACCTTCTATATCCCATATTTTAACAACACCATCAGCAGATCCTGTTGCTACTAATGAAGAAGTTGGATCGATTGCCATTACAATTATTGGCGAATCATGTGCCTTTAAAGAAGACATTATTATTATTATTAAGATCATTAAACAAGATGAAATCGAACGATAATAAAAAATACATTTGAACTATTTTTTAATTTAATATTTACTCTAAAAGTTCTTAAAAGTTTTCCAGTTTTTAAATCCCAAATTTTCACTAATAAACTTCTACTAGCACTAACTAATAATTTGTCATCAGGCGTTATGCCAAAGGTAGTGATAAGATCACTATCCTATATTCCAACAAATTAAAGAATCATTATCATCGTTGTATTTTGAAAGTGATGAAATTATTGTAATTATCATCATTATTAACCTACATACACCACTTAGTCTAAACAATTTTTGTCCGTCATAAATATTAATAACATCAATATCTTCTCCAACAGTTGTTATTAAAGCATTCTCGTCAGATGTTATACATGCTTTCCCGCCAGTGTAAAGTTGACCAATTGACTGGATAACTTTGAAACTTTGATTATTATAAGATTAATATCATTTCTGTTAATATGTACTCGTATAATAATATTATTAACTAGGATACACACCTGGTTTTGATTTGTTTTTTTCCATTTGATTCAAGCATTTTATAATAAATTTCGTTGATTGATTATCAAGAAAAAATTTAATGACGATCATAATTAAATGAATTGATTTTAAATTAAAGAAAAAAAAATGATAAAACAGCCAAACATATCAATATAACTCATCAATACCCATTTGTCTCAGTCTTTTAAAATTGCGTGGTGCTCGTAAAGACAAATTATTTACCTTGAAAACAAACGGTTTAGAGGAATATATTCGTAAAATTGCATCCAAAATTTGATTCACGAGCTTTAGTTGATGTTAATTTAGCAAATATATTTAAAAAATTGTTTTTAGAATATTCAAATATACATCAGTCGCCTTCTCTGATGAAACTCTGGGATGGCTCAGGCCATGTTTATTTGTCGACTAATCAAAAATATACATTATACTATAAAGAATTTCGTCAACATTTTTATTTAGAATATAATTAATAATAAATAGTATTATATTTTATAAGAACCCAATTTGAATTTATTTTATCCGGGTGATTTTTCTATTAATTGTTTTAACTGCATCTTTTGATTTGATCCTCGTTCCTTTAAATTTTCTAGTACTGGTAGTTTATTATATAATAGCTTGATTTTGAAGGCTTTCCATCTACTGTCTTTGAAAGATGTAGGAGAAGAAAAACCAGTTCTCAAGATAACTCTACTCTATTTTATGTATTTCTTCCTCAGTGAAAAATGGTTGAAACCGATTTAAAGAGATCCAAGAATTTAATCGTTTTGCTTTGCATATTTGTTTGATAAAATTTCTACAGGTTGGAAACTCTTTCCAATATAATGTAACATATTTTTATATTTTTATTTATGTTTATTTTTGTGATTTGATTATTAATACTTCCTGGTTTGGCTGATGAGTCAGCTATATTAATTATTGGAGTGAGGTTTAACTTTGTTGATTTTACCATTAAATTTTGAATAAATGCTTTCCCATAAATAAAATTGTTAAATTTAAGGTAAGATCTAATTGTTTTTGATTGTTGTTTCCAATTGTTAAAACCATCAATAGTAGCTTGCGAATCCAAGTATAACTACATTATGAGTTTTTGAATTAATTCCATATATATATTATAATGACAAACAACAATGTATCAATTATGAATACTTATTTTAAAAGAAAAAAAATATATATAACACACTCACTACATGGACAAAAGTCAGGTGCATTTTTAAACAAAAATTTCATAAAAAATACCATTTTGCAACTTGGATTCACCAAACTATATATGCAAAATTTGAGAACCCAATGATGCCAGATCTTTAATAATAATATGTATGATCTGATTGGAGTCTTTGGCTCAGAATGATTTTATTTCCTATTTTTTTACAAACTCAACTGTCATACCCACCACAGCTGCTGTCACTACACACAATCTACCACCATTAATACATCCATCTTCCACTCCTTTAACTATTGCTGCTGCTAACAATAATATAAAATCAACTGATCAATCAAGTAATAATGATTTAGAATTAATATCAATCCTGATAATTAGCAGCTGAAGAAGAAATACAGCTGTATCTGCCAGATTTCGTGTTAAAAAGAAATTACGTGAACAGGTACTTGAGAGAGCTGCAAGATAAATGGCTTCAAAAACAGAGCTGTTTGAAGGAAGAATCAAGAAAAAACTTGCATTTGAAAATAAATGATTAAAGATTGAAAAAGATGCTAGGTTGTTGGATGTTAAACCTGCTGATAAAAAAACAAAATTAGATCAAAATCATGATAAAGATTATAAAAATTTAAAAGTACTAAATGATCAAAAATAAAAAAACAAATTGAAGAAAAATTTTTCTTTATATATCTACTTGCAGCCAAAAATATCACTGAATTCATGCATGATAAGGAGATTGATAAAATCAACATCCCTCCCTCCATAACTCGGTGTCAAATAAGCATATGTGTTACCAATTGCAGCATATTATAATCAATAAGAAATTGGTTGAAGCCCTGGCTGGTTATAGAAATGAACTGGCGCCACACAACCAGGAGAACAATTTTTATTACTATTACTATATTTTTTCATTGATTCGGTCATTCTATTGTGACGAGCAAGTCTTGATGGAGGGAGCAATTTTTAATCCTCTTAACTGTCTCATCTTGAGCATCTACAGTCATTATTATGAATGTTTGCATGATTTCATGTGACTTTGTACAACAAAATTTGAATAAAGAAGATCAGCAGCAGTACATTAAATGGGAGTTGATAAAAGGTTTCAAATTTTTTAGCGCCATTTTTTATGTCGCTTCCTTTTTTCAATAATTTTTTATAAAAACTAGCCATGTTATCAGATAATACAAACTCAAACTCAAATTTAGACACTGTTTCACATTTACATACAAGCGATAATGATAGCGATACTACCGAGATTCAACCAGTCTTGGATAAAATTACATTAAATGTCGGTGGCATAAAGGTAACTTTATATGTTTATAATGACAATATTATAAAGTAATAATAATTGATTGTTTTTTAGTATGAAACATTCAGGTCAACTTTGACAGCTTATCCGACAACTTTACTTGGCTCATTGTTTCTCTATGACGACGATGAAAATCCTTTGTATGATGCTCCTAATGAATTTTTTATCGACAGAGATGGACATTTATTTCATTATATTATGCAATTCTATAGAACTGGTAAAGTTCCAACTATTGATCAAGGTAATAATTAAAATGTTTGCCAATGGACGACATGGAAGATTTATTATAAATAATCAATCTCACCTTTTATTTCTATTTCTATTTCTATTTCTATTTCTTTTTACTCATTTAAAGCAATTGGTTTGATCCCAATAACATCACAAGAATTAGAAGAAGAATTGGAATATTTCAAAATTCCAATATATCCGCAATCTTCCTACTCATCAACCACCCTATCACAGTCGCAATTATCACTACGAGATAAAATTATAACTAATGAAATCGACTCTTTTACCACAACTCTAACCAACACTTTATTAACTATTTCACAACAATTCAAAAAAGAATTTTTCTTTAAAAAACAATTCCGAATAAAATTCGAAATAACATTTTATCACAACGATCGCATCTCAGATTTCAATATACAACCCTCGATCAATTCAAGCTTGAAACAACAACTCTACAAAAATCTGGAGAACTTTCAATTGTTAGGTTATGCTATACTGGATAGATTTGGTGATGACATTGGTAGATATATGACAACGAATGTACAGGGTTGTAATTGGGAATGTAAAAGGGTGGAGGAATTTTCTTGGGGTGGTGTTAATAGAATGTATAAAGTTTTGGTCGGCGTAGAAAATAGTTTTGAACATGAAGATATCATCGGCAGCTGTTGTTTATCGTCAGTTGGACCAGATGCTAGTAATAATGCATAACAATAATAATAATAACAGTAGTCATCTATATTATATATTACTATTATTACTATTTATTATTTATCAAGTTTTTTTTTAATTGTGCATTTTTCTATGGCTTTTGTAATATTGGCTAGGAAAATGATTATTTATAAAGATGGAAATCCAAAAATAGTTAATTAAATATGTATAGAGTATATCAATGTATTTATAACAATCAATATTATATAATAATCAAATTGATCAATTCAATTGGCAGCATTTCACTACTTGCATTAATCTAAGATTATTCTTGGTCAACTTTTATTCCTCATTCTCCTCGAAAAATATAACATACTGGATGATCTAATAAATGTATTAGTTGCTGTATTTGGTAAAAGTATATACGAATACCAAATTTCCTGGTGTATTACTATATAGATCCCACATTGGACAATATCTAAAAAAAAGCAATTTATTTGATGAAATATGTCATTATTTGTATGATGAATCATTTTTCTAGAAATATTTTGGTTTAACAACTTACAGTTGGGGCCAATCGTGGTTTGTCGATCTGATCTACATAATAATAAAATTTAAAAATGAGGCTAAACCAAAGCCAATTGTGGTTTAACCCAATATGATCGAACTGCGGTTTGTCTTTTTTAAAGCATTTTTTCTATTCCACTTTATTTTTTCCCAAAAAAAAAAAAATTTTCTATATTATATATAATGTCCAATGAAAATTTATTATTTTCCTGATAAGTTCGACCAATCGAAATGAGTTAGAAAGATATTTAGCTTTACAATCAGTATCTTCAGATTAAATTTCCCAGCTTTACCTTGAATATTCAGGGAACAAGCTTTCCCAATGATGGCTCACACAATTACAAAAATTCGTGATCGTCTTCATATACTTGTGGACGAAGCTAAATTTCGATTTGACAAAAGTTTCGGCAATTTTATACTTGATTCGAGTGTGATAAGTGTCAAAATTATCCGATCAGGTTTCTGAATGAAAAAATTCTTACGATATTGAACCTTCAAATACTAACTCAATTATAATTAGTGGCCGACTTTATCAGATGTCTGGGAACATTTTGAGCGCGGAGAAAGAGTTTCTAAAAGAGAAATATACAGCGACTTGTATGTATTACAAAAGAAAATGGACAAAAGGTTCTCCACAAAACATGTTAAATGAACGTGTAGTTTGTCCAGATGAAATTAGATGGTTTTGGTCGGATTTCGTTTCTAATAAAAAAAAGGATTTTGCTATTATGTAGCTGATCTATCGGAAGAACAAGTTCATAATACATGCATTCAAGCAACTGTAGATATCGAAAATGATTTAAAAGGTGGCGAAGATGATTAAGGGATATCACTGGACAAATAAATTTAAACTTATCATCACGTAGTAGTGAAAAATTTGATGTTAATTGAACTCATGGTGATCATAATAATAATAATAATAGAAGTATTAATATATTATAAAATCAAAAAAGTTGATGTGTAACTTTTACTTACTACAGTCAAACCTCGTTTCAACGGATCTATGGGACTGACCACCTAAACCTGTTGAAACGAGATAATTATAATGATCTACAGGATCAACAGGAAAATTTTAATAATAATAAAATTTTTTTTGTGATTTTATAATACTTAATACAATACTTGATATAATTTACAAAAAATTAAATGCTAATTAATAGTCAATTATTTACTGAAAAAA